GTGTTCTTTCTTAAATGTAATGCATTTGTAAGAACATAGTCATTATCCGCAGACTTTTTAGATCTGGAACAGGCACACTTTTGATAGTATATACTAAAAACAAGAGACAACAAGCGCCTTGCAGTGCATGTGTTTTGCAATACCTTACTGCATTAGAAATGGAGTTTGTAGATCACCAGCAAAAGCCATGGCAGTGGAGTGGTGTACTAGAGCAAATGTGCTAGGTTAGAAACTGTGACAGAGACTACACTCTCTCATATTTCAAGGCTTATTTTCAACTGTGGCCAGAATGTACCTTTGGCACTTCAGTATACTGTATACCCCAATGGAAATGTTAAACCAGAACACCCAAAACTGATATTTCAAGATAGGTAGATGTTAGAGACACATATGCACTCTCTGGCCAAAACACGTCTCAAGAATCCTATACATTCATCATGATCTAGCAGCCAGGTTGCTGCCAGAAGAACCCCAATTCAGATTGCTCCTGCACAATAAACCTAAGCCCAGATAAAGTGAAACTTGTGAAAACCTCCAAAATGCATTGGCTGTCATCTCATTCATACAATCTTTTATTGTGACAAATGAATATTGTATCTGGACTGATTCCACATTTGTAACCATCGGATTCATTCAGAACCTTCACCTTGGAGTCCAGCATTCCACCACCCCAACTCTGGGAGCAGTCTATTTGACCATTATTTTTACATGCACTATAATGAATTTGCCAACAACACAATAGTAAGTAAACCTTAGAAAATTAAAGTAGCAGGGCTCAGAGGGGGAAGGTGGCAGTTTTCTGACATGCTATCAATCAATCACTTTACTGCAGTTTGGAAAATTCCAACAGTCTTTGAACTATGTTGCCCCTATTTGCTATTCACCCTCCATAGAAGGGAACTGGAGAGTGAGATGAAAAAGACAATGGTTATGATGCTATGAATGGTTACGATGCTATGAAGCTTTCAACATTTATTATCAGAAGCATTTTCTAAGTACCTCACAGGTTACAAGCGAGTGTTGAAAGCCTCATTGATGAAACACCTGCTGAAAATCTACCCCCTAAATAAAAAAAGACATCAGCAATTACGTCAAGATAATGTACACTACTGTTCACATAATAGACTTGTACGTATAGCATTTGTTGGCACATTGACCTGGATGACTTTGTGTACTACAAAAGTCACTGCACGTACAGCTCCGTGCGGGGCCGTACCAAGTAGCTGCCAGGAAGGACAGGTGCTGCGTGCGATTAGAACGCAGCCCCCGTCCTTCTCTATGGGGCTACGCGGCCGTATGCCCCCCCCCGGGACGTATACAGGACCCATTCCGGCGGCGTATGAATACGATCACCCGCACCCCTACGGACCTGCAAATGAGGTGAGCGTAGGGGGGCGTATGGCCGCGTAGCCCCATAGAGAAGGACGGAGGCTGCGTTCTAATCACACGCAGCACCTGTCCTTCCTGGCAGCTACTTGGTACGGCCCCGCACGCAGCACGGAGCTGTACGTGCAGGCCGATTCGTGTGTGAATGGGGCCTTACAGATGAAAATAAACAAGTGAGATGGGAAAATTCTCGTTTTACATTTAGTTGCAGAATAATCCTGCACACTTAAGAGTTGCCCAATAATTCTGTACACCCAAATATTCTCCTAAGAAAGCCAATAACTCACTTTTACTTTTTTTAAATATTCAGGTTTGAGGTTTATTAACATTTTGGATTGACCGAGAGCACTGTAGTTGTTCAATAATGAAATGAATCCTCAAAAACGCAACTTGCCTAATAATTGTGCACGCAGTGTAGTTGCAGTGGGAATCCTTTTGCTGTTATTGCTTGTACAAAGTGGACACAAAATTACTTTTCATTAAAGTTAAAAGGGATCAGTGTGTTTTCATCATTGTGGCCTGCAGCCTCCCATTCCACTGAAATCCCACTGTGCTGCTATAGAGGTTGCACTTGGTCACCTCTAGAAGGAGCCCTGATGAGATAGGAGAGCTGCTCTGTGTTACGTTGAAGAAATAGCCTGTGTCCCAAGAGCTCCTTCCAGTGGCTTTTGCTACCAGCTGCACAGCAGCATGTAAATAGAAAGAGGGAGGCAGCAGGCCATTGCAGGGAGATTACACTGATTTCTTCAAGGAAGATGAAGAGTCTCAGTTTTTTTCTGCAGTCTGAATGGACATTGACAGGTACAGGACTTCATCTGAAAGTGTTGTAATCCTATTGTAGTTATTAAAGCCTACATAATGCTATCACACTCTGTGATGAATGGTTTCATATATTTTAGCAACATCTTGAAACATTAAGCCCTCAGGGGCAGGGCCCTCCTTACCATCTTGTCTTGAATTGTAATGTGATTGTAATGTATTACTTATATTGTATAGCGCTGCACAAACTGTTGGCGCTATATAAATCCTGTATATTAATAATAATTTACCAATTTTAAAAAAAATTGTGGAAACCATCAAGATTATTTTTATAACAGTAAAGACCTTAAAATGCATGCTGAGTTTTATTAGTCAGATAATCTTTCTCTCTGTGCCCCTCTCTGATCTAGCTTCACTTCATTTATGGAGCCTGATTTCATTTTAACAGTTGAAAAGCTATGTTCAGGGCCAAGCAATATCATTTCATATCTGTGTCATATATGTCGCAATCTTCTTTTGTTTTTTTTAAGTCCACACAATCATTGCCAAGTATGTGTTGTGACTATAGTGACTTTTGATGAATGAGTGATATCTTTTAATGACAACTCTGGATTCACTGACAAATAATGGAGGGGAAAAAAACCCAATATAAATGCTTCTTCAATAAAGTCAACTTTTTCATGTGCATAGCAAGTTTATAAAAAAAAAAAAAAAAAGAGAGGGAGTCCAACAACTGACTGAAAATGGCACAGACAGAAAATGGACAAAAATAAGGAACGCAAAGCAAATCTATTGCTCAAAACAACATTTATGGATAATAAAAATACAAAAAAACTTGTAAAAGGTGAACTGACCCTTTAAACAATTCCTGCAAAGTACATAAAACATAATTTATCCAGAAATATGCTTTCATGCGGTGCCACATGCCAGCTGAAAGGAAAGTTGACACCAGGCTTGTGTCTGAAGTGTCTGCTCGGAAAGCTGATGGAGGGGAGGCAATACACACAGGCAAAATGTGTGTATGCATAATATATATATTATATATATATATATATATAATTACACACACACATACATACATATTGTGAGAATTAGCTCCAAATAGTAGCACATTAAGGATGCATCCACTCACTGAAATCTTCTTTTAAAGGGTTTCCTTGCCCACTTTTATTAAATCAAAGTTCACAAAAAAAAGGCAATTACCCTTCCAGGGGTTCTTCAGCATCTTTTGGCAACAAATGCCCATCCAGCCTCCTGCATTTTTGCAGCACTGCTGCTCCAGACTCTCAGCCCACTGTCTGTTCCTCCAGACAGTCTCATGTTATCCTGCACATTTGGTTCTTTCTTTCTACCCGCAGCACCCTGCTGTACTGGCCTCCACTCTGACTCCTGGGTGGAGTCCTCCTGTCTCTCAGGTGCGGCCCTCAACATTAGCCAGCATTCTCTTCATAATGGCTGTGCACAACCACTCGGTCCTGGTCACTACTAAAGTCCGGACCCAGGACAGGAGATTCCATCCCTCCCAATGCTCTTTGAAATCTCCCAGTTCCAGGAACCCAAGCCAAATCCGTAAACCCTGGGAAGAACTGCAAAGCCAGCTCTTTCCCAGTAAAAGTTTGCGTTTTCTGGAACTGCTCAGCCCTGGCTGAGAGTCCTGGGTGACTATATGGTCAAATAACACCATGGCATTGCCACGCACTGCCACAATATATACATACACATACAGTATATACACTATATCACCAAACGTATTGGGACACTCTCCAAATCATTGGATTCAAGTGTTCCGTGAAATTTCCTTGCTACTAAATATTCCGCGGTCACCTGTTAGTGGTATTATAACAAAGTGTAAGCAACTGGGAACAACAGAAACTCAGCCACGAAGTGCTAGGCCACGTAAAATGACAGAGTGGGGTCAGCGCATGCTGAAGTGCACAGTGCGCAGATTCAATAGCTACAGACCTCCAAACTTCATCTGGCCTTCAGATTGGCACAACAGTGCGTAGAGAGCTTCATGGAATGGGTTTCCATGGTCGAGCAACTGCATCGAAGCCTTACATCACCAAGTGCAATGCAAAGCGTCGGATGCCACTGGACTCTAGAGAAGTGGAGACGTGTGCTCTGGAGTGACGAATCACGCTTCTGTCTGGCAATCCGATGGACGTGTCTGGGTTTGGCGGTTGCCAGGAGAACGGTACTTGCCTGACTGCATTGTGCCAAGTGTAAAGTTTGGTGGAGGGGGGATTATGGTGTGGGGTTGTTTTTCAAGGGTTGGGCTTTGCCCCTTAGTTCCAGTGAAGGGAACTCCTAAGGCATCAGCATACTAAGACATTTTGGACAATTTCATGCTCCCAACTTTGCGGGAACAGTTTGGAGAGGCCCCTTCCTGTTCCAACATGACTGTGCACCAGTGCACAAAGCAAGGTCCATAAAGACATGGATGAGCGAGTTTGGGGTGGAGGAACTTGACTGGCCTGCACAGAGTCCTCACCTCAACCCGGTAGAACACCTTTGGGATGAATTACAGCAGAGACTGCGAGCCCGGCCTTCTCGTCCAACATCAGTACCTGACCTCACAAATGCGCTTCTGAAAGAATGGTCAAACATTCCCATAGACGGCACTCCTAAACCTTGTGGACGCCTTCCCAGAAGAGTTGAAGCTGTTATAGCGGCAAAGGGTGGGCCAACTCGATATTGAACCCTACGGACTAAGACTGGGATGCCATTATATTTCATGTGCGTGTAAAGGCAGGCGTCCTAATACTTTTGGTAATATAGTGTATGTTGGTGTGTATACTCTATGTATACACACAACTATGCATGCCTACACTGTATATAATTGAATTGTACTTTTTCTAGGTTCACTTCAGTATATATAATTTAATCTTTTCTGCCATTGTGAAGGCTGACGTTTTCATCATACAATGTTAAATAAATATGAACCTGACCTGTAGATATCTAAAGATAAATAACAGGTGTCTTTACACAGTCTGTATGCTGTAAGCAGACCACTCCGACCAGGAAACAGGAGCAGCTACTGGAACATGTTGAAATGCGGAAAAATGGTGTTGGAGTCACAATGCTTCATATCTAGGACGTCTGTTTGTCAAAAAGTAAAGTCTTTGGTAAACACTTGCATGGTTTTATTAGCAATGGCTCGCATGCTAAACGTAGGCACATCCGTTTTGAAGAGAAGGAAGAGAAAGTGCAAGTCAGTCTTCATGGCATAGCACTTGTTAGAGCTGGAGACCGTGTAGCACTGGTGAGCATGATGGCTGAATCCCATTGGAAATGACTCCTCATACTGAACTGTGAATAGAAAGGGATAATTAAAAGAACGCAATACTCAAAACAGAAAAAAATACGCTATATTATTAATAAGCTAACACTTAGTCCTCACAAGTTTACTATTTAAAACTAAAGATTTCACAGCAACCTAACAATATAGCTTAATTTAAAGCTTTAAATGATTTTAAAAGAACCTGCAGGCACCTATAGGGATTACCCTCCCCAAATCTATTCTCAATTTCACATTCTTTAAAAGAGAATTATGAGGCGAGTGATTTTCACTCAGCCTCATAATCTGAGCCGACCTGTGACAATGAAACTGTCACAGGTCGGCTCAGTAGATCGGGAACTGAGTGAACACATACCGGCGCTCGCTCACTTCTCGATCCTGTGGCGGCAGAGAGCCGTGACAGGGGAGGGACTGGATTCCTCCCTCCCCTGTCCGATCCTCCAGTGCCTACTGGCAGAACGGACGGGGGAGGGGGCGGGTACAGCTGGCTCTGCCTATATATAGGCAGAGCCAGCTGTCACTCACGCAGCTGGGTGGATCCAGACATAAATTGTCGGGATCCGTTTTGGCTGCGGCGTCTCAGCTACAGCTCGCGGTATACTGAGCTTTGGGTGACAGCAGGATGCTAGTTTGTGTTCTCCCGTTACCCTTAGGAGAACTATATACCAATTAATCAGCAGTCATCTCTCATCTTTTAATTTGCTACTTGCCGAAGAATAGGAAAGCCACATTGTCACCACTCAAGTCCAAATACCCAAGTCTTCTGATGAGTAGTTCAGTCAAGGTATCATATTCTTTATAGGAGGGATGAGGACACTACTGAAGGATCTGGGCAGTGCGGAGGCCAGACTTTCTGTAGCAGAAGATATACAGTTTGCTGGCAACCTGCTTCTGCTGTTAGCTTTGCAATTATTTTAAACCACAGGTTTAATTTAAATCTCAACTCCTGCCAAAAGGAAAGGTGAGGACAACTGATGGATTTTTGGAAAGCTTCACAGTCACACATAGTGGCCTACCCATGTATAAATGATTTGAGCTCAATCCACCTCAATGGAAAATTTAATCAAAACTTTGCCCTGAAGTAAATGGACAACAAGAACTGCAGCACTGGGGGACATTTCCAAGGAGAGACTGTTGTGCTGGACAGGCAATGTCTTGCGCAACACCAGTAGCTGGGTGCAGTAGTGGATATTGCACTTTTAAAGAGAATGTGTAGTTGTTTTGTGCATATTTCTTTATGTACTGCTAGCAAAATTGTGCCTGTTCCAAAAAAGGTAAGTGTGGGGGGAGTAGCTGATTGTCAGAGCACACTACAGTAAACAGTTGGTGGAGGACAGTGGCCGCAATGGGGACACTGGTGAGTGGATTAGAGCATGCAGGCAGCAGAGAGGGCACTTAAGGGCAGAAGATCTGTTTGCACTGATGGAGTGAAGAAGGTGGTTATAACATTGGAGAAGGGACTATTAGCACAGATTTAATGCTGGATGCAGGGAGGGATGCAATGACTGGTTAGTCAGGTGGTTAAGGACAGATACACTGTGAACAGGAGGTGATGTGGCCAGAGACTGTGATGGGAAGGGGGTGCAGCATTAGTAAAGGGTGAGGTGGCCCTGGAGGGATGTGCTTTGATGGGTTGAGGCAGCTGTAAAGGAATGTACTGTAAGCTTGTGGGGGAAGGAGCGGGGTTTTAGGGGTTGGCAGTCAAAACAGCAAGAGAGGGATGTGCTGTGAGCAGGGAGGAAAGGTTGCTAGGGGGAATAGAGATTTGCTATAAAGCGAAGATCAAGGAGGCAACAGAGGCACGTGTTGTGAGTGGCAAAGGAAAATGACCAGGCAATCTAATAAAAGTAATTGATTATTATACACAGATTAGACAGGTTGCATATACACCGAGTGGCCAGATTATTATGACCACCCCATCAGTACTTCATTGGGCCACCTTTTGCCTTCAATACCGCAGCGATTCTTGGCATTGACTCCAGGAGATGTTGAAAGGTGATGCGAGGAATCTGACACTGTACTGTTGCCCTTCTGTTGTCTTGTACCAGTCTTGCCACTCTCCGTTCTGCCCTAACATTGACCAGTCGCTGACGGTCACAATTTGCACGTTCAGACCCAGATTTTCGGCTGACAGTCCGGTCTTTAAACACTTTTAACAACAGCTGCTCTTGAACATTTACCCAATTCTGCTGTTTTGCTGATACTCGCTCCATGGCTCCGAGCGCCAACACTCATCCTACGTTCAAAGGCTGTTAAATCGCGTTGTTTACCCGTATCTTCAGAAAAAAATCACTTCTACTGTCGTGGTAAACAACCTGCTTCCCTATTTATAATTGTCTGGCCCTCTAGCAACTTTAGCGCAAAATTATAGCTAAATTTGCCTACAAACGTCAGGTGGTCATAATAATCTGGCCACTCAGTGTATACTGAAGATTTAAAACTTCCTCTTTATGACACACAGCCTTTCTTCTACCATAATTCATACATCTTTCATACATTTTAATGTAAACATCATATAGTTGAAGTAAGATGAGAGCAGACTGTCTGACCTCTACCACCTCCACCCTCTGCCTGTCCCACAATTCCAAAATCAGCCTGAGATAAAAAGCAGATAATAGCATATCAACCTAGCACATTATCAACAATGTAATTTATTAGAATAAAAACAAGACATGCCCCTGCCCCATGCAGTGGCCATGCTGGGAAAATGTGCAGCGGAGTTGTCCAATGGCCAGCAGTATGGCAGCAAGTCCTCCACTTCTCCTGTATAGCATAATCCAAAACTGCAGTGTGCACATAGAGGAAGCCACAGTGATATTTCAGGCTACAGCCTACGCATCTAGTAGAACTAACTCAGAGTGAGAGCTTCCTTCCTGATCTGAAAATGTTTGTGGGTCATGTGAAAAAAAATGACAAGCCAAACATCTTTTTTTTTTCTTGCAATGATAAATTAAGAAATATCTATAAAATATTACTAACAATACTATTATGGGCAGTAAATCCTCCTGGGGGCAAAGGAACATTTTATATTCTTGGCTTTGCAGAAACTTTCTTGGGTATTGTGGGTAATATGTGACTTCAAGAGGAACTCCAGAATTTTTAAAAATTAACCTTTGCAGTGGGGCTACCCCCGAACTGCAAGGGTTAAGTGCTCATTTTGTCTAGGGGGAGAAAATAAAGAAGAAATACTCCTCGGTCCCGCCCGGCTGCTAAACTGCTGCCCGCAGCCTCTTTTGGGCACCGGTAGTCTAAGGACATGTGAAGTCAACAAATCTATACAGGTCCATTAGATATAAAGATGCCCAGGAACATACCACAGCAGAGGAGAAGAGAGGTGAGAGGTAATTGCCACTCTTGGAGTTCTTCTTTAATATGGGGTCCTGTAACAGAATTGCCCAATGTTTTTCATTTTTAATTGCCAATACTGATTAGCAAATTTAGTCGTAAAAGTCACTGAAACTGTTTTAGTAATGTCATCACAAGGTTTAAAATGGGGTAGGTCTTATATTTTAGCAATTCCCAAAAATAGTACTAGGTCTTATTTTTGGGGTAGGTCTTATTTTCGGGGAAACAGGGTACATGTGCCTGCAACACAATAACAAAAACTGTACAGCTGGTCAATTTAAAGTTAACCAAAAATAATGGCCCTTGAATTATTCCTCTATTTGAGATTATTAATTTGGAGGACAGACCAAATAATTCCCATGCAACTGTGTCTAGGCCTATAAAACGGACTATATGGAATACTTGTCTTCAGTATCTGTGTAAGTATTTCCTGCTGTTCTTTAAAATAAGCATTGGAAATTAAGAGATTCAGAGAGCGGGAGGATAATTCCGAACTAAACTAAAAAAAAGGGTTTCAGAGTGCATGACGCGGGTAAAAATATGACATATAGCTTAGAGTTGCGGTAGTTGAAAAATTATGAACTATTGTCTGAAGGCTCATACCAAATTATAATGCAGTCTATTTTACAACTGTAATAGGCCAGATGGGCAGGAAAAGGGTTATGTATTGGGCCTCCCAAAAACCCATCAACAGGCTGACACAACAAATGCAAAAATGGCCCCATAGATGTGTTTGTCTTTTGACACAATTTACCTAAAAATTGTAAATAATTGTGTACGAGAGCAAATGTCATGCAAATGGTAATAAATTGTACTTGTAGCATGCTAATATTAAAGGGTTTCTAAACCCTCACTTTTTTTGCATATATCTACTGCTAGCAAGCAGTAGATATATGCAAAAAGTTGTTTTTTAAAACGCTTTAAAAGCGGTTTAAACTTACCCCCGTCTTCGCCACGCGCTCCCGTCCGAAAATCCGAAAATGCTTGGGTGGCCGCAAAGCATCTTGGGGCGGGCGCATGCACAGTTCGGATTTTCGGCTGGGAGACGAGGAGAGACGCAAGGTAAGTCTATGGACGCGTGCACCCGCATGCAGACACCGTGAGACAGGAAGTGCCAGCAAAGACAGAGGAGTCAGCGCTGGATCGGAGACCCACAGCAGCGCTGGAGAGAAGAATGAAAAGGACAGGAAAGAAGATCAGATTAAGAGACATCATTTAAGGTAAGTGCTTTAATTAACATTGGGGGGAGTGAAAAAAGTTTTTGACTTTAATGTCACTTTAACCCCTTCATGACTGAGCTAGTTTTCAGGTTCTGTTCATAAATGACTGACACATTTTTTACATTTTTGCTGTGTGATTCTTCCACAGCAGTAATATACTTTCTTACTAAATGTACCCACACATATTATATATAGTTTTTTAGAGGACAGATAGGGCTATATAATTATATCACATATGTGTACCTAACCCCTCACTTAGTTTGAATAAAATAAAAAAAATGAGGAAAAAAACTAGAAGAAAACACTTTTTTCACAAGTTTTGATTATTATTATTTTTTTTTAGAATTTTTTTATATTAATTATAGTATAAAAAATATATTTATATATAATTTATATTTTCCTAATTTTGTTTTACACTTTATTTTTATTTTTTTACACTTTGTAAA